TATATTAAAATGAAAGATTCTTCTGACACGAGGCCCAATGACAAGGTACCTGAACCAAAGACTATCGCCTCAGCTTAGACCACAATTAAAAACTTACTTACTAAAACAAGTAAAAACCCAGACAAAGTTTGCAACAAGTCATTTTTCACTGTTTATTAATAAGTGCCACTAACAGTAAAGTCCTGTGAACCAGACTGAAGACAACAGTCTGAGTTAACCTGTGGAAGTTAATGGAATGGAGCAAACCGCTGGTACTTACATGCTGAGTAATTAGGCAGAAAATTGGTTCAGCCATTTGGAAAATAAGAGTGTCTGCTTGGTGGCAAAAGAGAGTCTATCAACAGACTTCCAGGTTGTAGCTTCACTCTGGAGATTATGTGAAGCACAAAGGTGTGTGTGTGTGTGTGTGTGTGTGTGAGTGGTATTAATGTTTAGCTAAAGGAACCAGGACCAAGGACCAGCGAGGCACACAGGCTCTTACCGTCCAGTGATGAGGAGGAAGAGGGTGAGGATGATCAACAGGGAGAAACCTCCTACAGCCGCTGTGACGACCACCAGAACCTGACCCTGATCAGCAATATCAGGATCTGAGCAGAGTAAGGGCGAAGGAGAAAAAAACAGATGAGACTGATCAGTGTTGAGCTTAGAAACTCAAATGAGAGGACTGACACATCACATTGAAAATGGCCACTGTTCATGGTGAATGGTTTTAGTTTCTCTGTATCTTATTTAAACATTCTGAGTATTTATCACTAGAGAACTTGCAACAGATGAGATCTCCACATTTACAGTGTCCTAATGCTCAGTTTTCCATTTTTTAACACATCTATAAATAGTGCCACCATATTTTAATCACATATAAAGTAAATATAAAAGGGCATTTGTTCTGCTTCTGCTCTGTATTATAATCCAAATAAAGCAGATTACACATAAATTATTTTTATTCAGACTTGGATAAGTGATCATGTTAGTAGAAAAGTGGCTGCACAGTCAGGTACACATAAATCTGTCACACCAAACTAGAACATTAAAAAAACATATTGATATGTTTTCCAAAAGGCAAATGATAACAGTAGAACAAGTACATGCTAATTATTTTCATAGCACAAATATGAATTTTAAAAGAATGTTTTGAAGACAGCTTAACTTAAAACTTGACTTGTCATCGGGGGAGTTCATAATATAATTGTATCTCCATTGTTGTGGTTTTCTGTGTCTGGCTACTGTTACCATTAAGTGTAACTGAGTTCTTTTATTCCCAACTAAATCTGAGGGGTCGTAAGATCCCTGTATTCACTGACATATTTGTAGACATCCATTGTATAGAGTAAATCTTTTTACATCTTTGATGAAACCTTAAATATTATTTTCTCTAACAGTTTGTATAAAATAAAATAAAACTCAAGAAACATGAAAAAGGTCAAATTCCCTGCACTGTATGGGTTGAGATGAGAGAGGAGGTGACTCTGAAGTTGAGGCACAATCAAACTATATAAATGGACCTGCATCAGAAGTATTGGTCCTGGGAGGATGAGAATATGAAGGTGGACATCTCATCTCTAAAAGAGAGAGAGTGTGTTTGTGTGTGTGTGTGTGTGTGTGTGTGTGTGTGTGTGTGTGTGTGTGTATGTGTGTGTTCATCCCTGCATATTTCAGGGTTAGAATCACCAGAGCGTTACGTGTGCATGAAAACTGTAATAAGCACAACTACACAGCCAGGAACTTACAGAGCTTATAAACATTTAAATAAATGGCTCATGCCTGAGGAGGCGCTGATGAGTTTCACTGATCCATAGCAAAGAATGACCATGAATTGTCTCCAGGGATTTTATAGGGTTGTTGATCAGCACAGATGACTCCACTTATTGTCCCCCTGCGTTGTATTCAAACTAAACTCCATATCCATTGGGATCTCAACACAAATCTAACTGAATGTCAGAGTCATTCCTCCCAACACACACAAAACAAAGCCACAGTTCCTTTACACCCACGCCCCCCCCACAGTCGTACCCTCGGCTGCAGTAGCAAACTCAAAGTTGGGGCTGTAAGCGGTGTAACCAGAAGCAGTGCGAGCGCGCACGTGGAAGACATACACAGTGGAGGGTCTGAGGCCTGTGACCACCACGCTGGGGGATTTGGTGCGTGTCGATGAGTAGCTCAGCTGCTCTTGCTCCTGGACAAACGGAAACAGATCATAAGATGACCAGTAAACAAAAGCACATTTTGGCAATTAAATGTTTGATCAAAACCTATTTTCTTATAATTACTACTGAAGTTGGTAAACAGGTAGAGATCGCAATTGCACAATGCATGTTACTGAATTTCCTCCAACAAGGAGGTTATGTCTTTATCTGCATTGTTTGTAAGTTGGCGGCATTACACAAAAAACGAGTGGACGGTTTACCATAAAACTTGATGGAAGCATTCGACATGGATCAGAAAATAACCCACGACATTTTTGTGCAGATCTGGATCAAGGGGTGGATGCAAAACATTTTTTTCACTTTCTTTAACATTGCAAGAAATGGTGATTTTTTTTATATTTTCCATTTCGGGGTTGGTTTTGATGAGTGTGTGCAATTTGGTCCAGATCCAAATAAAAAAGTGGGACGGTTGAGCCTTGGCGGAGGTATGAGTGCCATAGTTGTTTCTCAGTGTAAGAAGCATTTCAGTGCTAAAGTTACTCTAATCCAAACTAGTTCTATTTAGATTGATAAAAACTTCCTCACCTTTTCAAAGTATTTGATCTCATAATCCACTATGTCGGAAGGAGGCAGTTCCACTTCTGACCAGGAGAGAGCGATGCTGGTTTGAGTGGCCCCATCTTTTCTGATGACGCCCACCAGAGCAGGACCTAATGATGCAGCCAAAGAGAGCAAAAATGCACCAGTATAAATGTCCACACTGGTAATTTCATGATACGTCCAAGACAAAAATAAATATGGAAACTTATCTGACGTGATTTCTAATTTATTGACTTAGAGTTGCCTTAGTGAATGTGCCAAAGAGTCAACTTTAAAAGTAAAACATTGGGAGAAACATCAGCGAGAAACTCATTTATCATATCATTGCTACAGTTATTAGTAATAACAAGGCAGCTGGCCACCCAACCTGAGTCTGGTTCTGTTGCAGGGTTTTTCTCTCTGCACATTGAGGAAGCTGTTTCCCTAAAATATTGAAAGATCTTGGACCTTACGAAGGAAAGTACATTGAGATACTACATGTTGTGGTTTGTATATACGCAAATGAATTAAAATTGATCTGAAAAATTTAATTGGAACAAAAGACTGTGGAACTGAGAGTCAATGATCTAAAAGAGGTGAGCATCTTGAGTTCAGAGACACGACTGCAAAACACTCCAGTGTCTCAAGTCACCATTTGAAAGATTGCCTCATTGAACCAAGTTTTAAAGGATGATACCCAAAGAGAAATGAAGACCAAGAAATAAACATTCCACTGTCCAGCTCTGATATGACGTTCGGCCTGAGGCAAACATCTTTGTTAACCAAACCACCAAACCCATAGCAACTGTTCTACATTCCTGTCATCACTGCTGAATTTGGAGGGAATATTTTACACAAGGTTGCTGAGGAGACAGAAAAATCACCTCGCAGAGATTCAAATATTTACCATTAATTATTCATTAAGCCTGTGCTTGAAGAGATTTGGCAAAATAATAGATCCAGTCCCTCTGTTGTTTAGTGTGCTGTCTGGAGGATGAGCGCTGGAATACAAATCACTGTTGGAATACTAATCCCAACACTACAGAGAGATGTGTTAAACTGTCCTCATGAAAGACACAAAGAAGGCTGCAGATCGGATGGGACGCTTCAGAAAGTTAATGTGTTACGTCAGAGGGATTGGGGGGAAGATACAACTTTCACGTGGTCAAGAAGTCAGGATTTTCAAGCTTCAAGGTCCAGCAGCTCAACCACTTTAACTTGTTTAAACAAAAAAAGAGCAAAGAGGAGAATGGTGCACACAGGAGGCAAGAGTTTGATGACTGCTGCAAAAATGTGCTCTGGAGGTAACAATTATGTAGATTTGAGGTGTGTCTGACTTTTACAATACAATGCAGAAATTCCAACTCCTGACTCATGTCTTTGAACGTACATTTCTTCGAGGATCTGAAACTTTCAATCATGTCCTATATGTGACAATCAGACACCAAAACCTGAGTTTAATACAAGTGGAATAAACAACTCACAGCAAATAAGAAACTATGGTGTGTTATGTCAAAGTTTCACAGGATTATCAAAGGAAACAAAAACCATCAATCATGTCAAATTAAATCGACATCCTTCCTAACTCACACCTGAACAGGCTCTCCATCATTGGACTGTGCTGTCTATCAAAGACTTTGCGGTGCCAGATCACACATCTGCTGTCAGCCACGTTATTCCAGGTAACATGTGCCCTTATATCCTGCTAGCGAGTATATGTTGTGGGAATATCTCAGACCTCTCAGTCTGGCTGCCTGCTGCAGTTCTTAATGGCAAACAGCAGACACATCAACAAACACATGCAGGATTCACCGACAGAACACTACAGCGCAAAGGTGCACAGGCAAGTCAACAACAAACTCCAGTGAGTTGTTTTGCAAATGTCATCTGAGGCATATTTGAATAACTGCAGGTTCGAGTGTAATAATGACCAGTGCAGTGTCGGCTGCACTCATTATTAGTGCTCAATATTAAAACCTGTTCTTTTCTTCTTACAGGTGAAATAAATGCCAGGTGAGTTTGCAGTGGATGATACTACACTGTAATCCTGAAAAACAACAAATTCATACGGGAGGACGATAATTATTGTCATAATCGGTAAATACAGCAATTATTTTTACTCCATCAATTAATGTTTTGTCCAGAAAATGTCACAAGTTGACATCACAGTAATGAGCAACAGTAAAAACAAATAATTCAACTGACTTCCTCTCGAAACAAACAGAACAAGCTGGAACTCAAGTATGTGTTTGTCAGTGGAGTGCATTCCTCCACCAACAGTCCCCTTCAATTCAATCTACCTGCACAGACTTGCACACACTCATCGATCTTGGTCACTTAAATGTGCCTGATTCTTTTCATCGAAACACTACATCTCCCAATGTTAAAGAAACTAATAAAGACATCCTGGATCCATCTTGATCCGGATCAAAACATGTCCCATACTGCATCCTTCCACAAAGAAATCCGTCCAATAGTTTTTGAGTAATCCTGGAAAGAAACAAACCAACAAACAAACAAAACCTCCTTGGTTGATGTGATTCAACACAGGGAAACATCACCAGCAAAATAAAGAGTATATATGTGTTCAATTTTAAACCATAAAAGCACGAAATCTACAAAGTCATGCATGAATATACCTTGAAATGCAAAGTACTTTCCATTCGACTGAAACTGATAATAACATATAAACAACAGCTCCTATAAATGTCATGTTCAAACTAGTGATGGTGATATTTTTCAGTTGGCATCAGTTGCTACCAGGCAGATAAGTATGTATAACCCACTTACAGGGTAAGAATCACATTACAGGAGGTGATTTCCATCTGCACAATGCAGTATAATGTTGTGTATCTGTCATTGTGTCAATGAGCTTCCATCTTTGTGAGTATCGACACTTTTTGCAGAAAGGGGAAACTCCCTAAAAAATATCTAATGCAAGACTCTGTCCCAGCCTGAGGATAAATCAATCCACCAGTTAGATACCTACTTGCTGTGGATGAGCGGCTCAGAGAGAACAATGACTAGCATTACAGTTCAATCCCATTTCAAACAGCTAAAGATCACTGAGAATCTATAAGGTCTCATTGGTTTATTGGAAACATGTAAAAATAGGTTAACCCTCAACTGCACGAGCTCGAACATATACAGAAAGGACAGAGGAAGGAAGGAGAGAGGGAGAGAGAACAGGGAGAGCTGTAAAGAAATCCCATGAGGTTGCATCTCCCCGGCATCTGAGCATATAAATAGAAGTCAGCCGTATTCCCAGAGCAGGGAAGATGAAAACAGAGGAGAATCCACGGGAGGGAAGGGGAAAAGAGCAAAGTAAAAATCTCCTGAATCAGGACACCGCAAAACACTGGGAAATGTTCACACGCGGATTTAACATGTGAGAACTCTGCATGCTCTTGATTGACGTAATCATGAGGTAGACAAAGTGGCAGAATAGGATCTCTTCAAAACAGAAAAAAGTGCCATGAGCATAAAATGGACCCAAAAGTCACAAGGAAGCTTATCCACATTTTTCTGCATATCCTTCAGGACTCTTTTTACTGCAAAAATCAATGACATAGCAAGAGTCCATAAATAACCTGGAGGGCGGCACAGTGGTCAGTTAGCACTGTCGCCTCAAAGCAGAAAGGTTCCTTCGAATCCAAGTTTGGTGGGGGGGCTTTCTGTGAAGAGTTTACATGTTCTCCCACATGTTTATGTGCTACTCCGGCTTCCTCCCACAATCCAAAGACAGAGACTCTAAATTGAATGAGGTGTGACAGTGAGTGTGAATGGTTGTTTACTTCTGTATATTGGCCCTGTAATAAGATGGCAATCTGTCCAGGGTATACCCCACCTCTCGCCCAATGTCCTGCCCCAATCGCAAACCTCAAAGTATAAGCAGCATGGATAACAGATCGATAAATAATGATTAATGCACAGCAAAACATATCCACTCCTTCTTGCAAACTGACTGAGCCCTAACTCTCCCGCTTGCATAGGAGGAAAGAACTAACCAGCAGTTTGTGTATCAAAAAAGAAAAACATCCCGGAAAGGCAAACAAGCCAAGTAATTGAATGCCCCCATGGATCTGCTGAAACAGTCTCACGTAATGCTCCGAGTAAAATCCAGGGAGGAGTCTGCAAAAGAAAAAGCTAAACCGCCAGAACTGGAGGGGAGGCATCGTCAGCACAAGGCCACCAGTTCCTCTTGAGGAGGAAGAAAAGATGCAAAAAGAAACGGTGGAAAGATGAAAAAAAACTGCAGCAAGTGAGTGACGTTAAAAAAACTTGAGCAGCCTCCACTCAACAAGCAGCACCAGCACAGTGTCAAATCAGGAGGTGAAGGATTATTTGTTTCAAACCTGTATGAAGTTTAAAGATATAATCACACAGCACAGGCTGCACATGTATGTATATGGATGTAATGCTACTTAAAAGGTGAATTATTGCACTGTACAAACATATAACCAGGAAACAGTCAGAACAATATAGGAATACTCATTAACTACTTAATTACTAGGTAATTTTTAAGTTCTAGCTGAATCTGCAAATGTGTAAACTGGAGTAGTTGAACTGAAAAACCATTTAAACCAGCAGCCGTTCCTGCAAAGGTTCAATACATTAAATCTCACATTAATGATAATGGTTTGATCACATTAGACATGTAACTCGATTCATTTTGATTCATCCACACATACAACCACTAGCTTTAACCTTGAACAAAAACACATGTCAACTCTTTGAGTCTGATCTTAAGTCCAAACAATCAATTATTAAACCTTGCATAAGATTGACTTTTAACAGACAGTCCTATTCTTGTGATCACCTCTGTGCAGCAGCCTTACACAAATTTGCATTGATTTCTCTGTGCCTCTCTCAGACTACTGCAGTGCACTTTGTGGGAGGAATCTTCAGTGAGACGCTCTGCTGAGCAATAACTACAGTGTATTTTGAGCCGAGTGCAGCTCACTGTTCATAAACACACAGATCAGCCTGTTCACTCGGCTTTGCCTTGCTGTCTTGTAGAGCCGGTAGGACAACAGCACCGAAAATCAGAGAAACCCACATCCTGTTTTCCAAAGTGAGCTCCAGTGTGGAGGAGTGTGCACACACACAAACAGGCATTTGAAATGATCAAACGCCTTTTCTGAGAACCCATGACAAAACGGATCTTGTTCGGCTCTTGCAGCGACAAAACTCAATGATAAATCCACTAAACCACACTTTCAAAGGCAGTGAGCATTTCATACATCTTACTTTACTGAGCATCACAACTTATCAAAGTTAGACAAGCACACAGGCAAATTGGGAAGAGAAATTATTAGTAAGTCTGATTAATAGGCTTAGAATAATTAAAAGCATAATGAGGCATTAATACGCAATTTGCAAACAGATAACACGGCAACAGAAAATGAATCCTCTTATTGCTTCTGACTAAAAAAAATCTAGTTAATTGCTAATTCTGCTTTTGATTGGTTATCATTCCATCACTGACATCATATCACAGTCAATTACATGAATCACCTCGCAGCGACCATGCTAATTGGCAATGAGCCCGTCAATCTCATGTCCGTCCAAACAGAAGTTCAGCAGCACAACAAACATTTCAACTCGATGATTCTTCCACCTCATATGAACGTGTAGTGAGATTTGAGGAGCTTATAGAATATTTTGCATGTTATCTACCATGGAGTGTTTTGAAAGGTTCAATGGTTTTATTTTGTATTAAGAAGCTTCCTGCTGGATTTTCCACTATGTGTATAGATCAAATAAATACCACGTGAATATTACTTGTCCAATCACATTTGTGGCAGTTATTTACGTTTTTTGCATGAATTTTAACACGATGCTGAGAATTACCTCTGGACTTGGCTGCAGATTATGAGCCACCGAAACCTGCACACAACAGTATGAATGGGGAACAGTGTGAAAGCGTAACACTTTATTCTTTTCCCCTTTTTTGCATAAAATCTGCAGGATGGCTACATTAGTGCAAACAAGCATGATCAGCATGAATAATTCCTATAATATCATCTATCAAAGCACAAAGTTAAAATGATTATTATACTGCTCTAACGGATGTAACTGTAGGATGTAAATATACATATTGAACTATTCTATAATGACACTTAATCAAAGAGCAATATATGTGCTCTTAGGAAGCAGAGAGAGAAGTTAAACATGCATGGGTGTGTGTGTGTGGTGGGGGGGGGGGGGAACTGGGGGGCAGACAACACGAGGGGGGAGCTGGTAAATGACCATCTGCACGGCTGTAAGTACATGGATGAAGCAAACGTGCATGTAAATGTTATATGTGCATGAAATGGTTTGTTTGCGTGCACGTCTGGCTGTCTGTCTGTGCACACACTCCGTACGTCTGCTGAGGAAAGGCAGTTTGACAAGTTAATCCAGTCTAAACATCCACAGGGAAACATCCCCACAGGCGGCTTCTCCTCCTCCGCTGAGATTATTTAGCATTTCAACTTCCTGCCATCAGTCTGGCTGCCTTCACCAGAAGGAGAGAATTAGGTATGAGGCGACACATAGGATATGACATTTGGTTTCCATGGCACGACGACAGCCTATCAGCATAGTTTTATTTATAAAAAATAAGACTTTAATTCAATGATGCACTGTCTACTGGGGGAGAATGATCCACAAGAAATGACCTAATATATTCTCTATGTATTAAAGGTGAGCGTAAACACAACTAAAGTAAATCCCTACGGAGATCCAATGCAGAAAGGTTGGTAAGGAACTGGTATTTATTAATTACATTTTAAAGACTGACATGACACAAACCTATTGGGGGCATTTGCACAGTCAGTAAACTTGACACATGTGAAAGGACATTTTTATTCCCAATCTGTCGACTCCTGGCTTGCTCACCACTTTGTCCCAGACTTGATCCAAAAGGGAGACTTTGTAATTCAGACCAGGCTTCTTTGAGTTACTTTGTTCCTGCCATCTATCATATAAGTAGGTCTTGTTGTGTCTGAAACTGAAAAGGTGGAAAATATGATCAACTTTTGTTGTTTTCTTCATTTAAAATTAGTTTTTTTTCCTGGTGAGCCTGAATACAAATGATAATCTCTGACAATCTTCGTGATAATGCAATTATCGCAGCCTATTACTGCACACAAAGATGATGCAGCACCGATTCACCCGCAATTCCCTGTTTTATATCTGAGCCGCTGATGAGCGATGAGCATCAGTCTTGTTCTCATCAGAAATTCATCTCACCACTGACTTGCAGCTCTTGCTGAAAGGGAAGAAAATGTGCACATACATCCTGCCATAATTTATTAATCCGCTCTCTTTCCTCCCTTCATCTCCACCTTCTCCATCAATTATTCCATCAATATTCTTGCCCTTAATATATAAGGTTCAAGGTTCAACTTAAGATCTCTTATTTTCCCTAATTCCAGCCCAAGACAATGGTGTCTTAAAGACTGCTGGCCATGGTTGACCTCAGGTCTGCTCAGCTCTGCTAATTAAGATTTGGTTCAGGTCACAGTGGCTCTGTCAAGTGTTCAGAGGTCAGAAATGTGCTTCACCTACTGACACATTGAGTTGGATAGGGAAACAATGACTGTGGCAGTAGTGGAGGGTGCTCAAGATAGAGAAACAAAAATCTAGTTGCTAAAAGCTGCAATGCAAACAAGGTATTCCTGAAGTATCAATCAGGTAATACTGTACAACATATTGAAATACATGCAGAATCTAATCTTTTTTAGAATTTCAGAGCTGAATATATTATTGTAGAGCCTGACAGATAATGATTTTTGGGGGTTGATGTAAAGTTGCCAATGATTCCCAAGTTTGACAAATTAAATGTAAGAACTCTGCAACTCACCAGCTTGATGCGTGTTGACGGTAATATTTGCCAGTGAGCGTGCGGCCACCCCCAGCCCAGCTACACCATTCATGGCCTCTACGTGGAAAGTGTAGTTGGTGTGCATCGCAAAATCCAGTATTGCCACAGAGGTGCCAGTCAGACCATGCGGCCGTGGGATGAAGCGCAGATCCGCCGAGCACGGCTCACACTGCGTCAGGCCACTGTCGCCGTCACTTCCATCACAGCGCTGGCACAAGATGTTATAAGTGATGTCCTTCCTGCCGCCTGTATCAATGGGAGGCATCCACTGCAAGAAGAGCGCTGTGTCATTGATCAATGAGACGAGATTCCTGGGAGCTGACGGAGGCCCTGAAGAGAAAGAAAGAATATTTAGAGCCAGGAAGAATTAACTCACTGATAACCACTGAACTTTGTAAGGCAGAGTTTCTAAAACAAATATAATTGTTGAAATATGGCTTAAAACATTCAAAGGTGTTATTGTCTGTTTGAATAAAAGAAACAACGTAGAGCTTCTGGCAGAGCTGTAGTCCAAAAATGATAACATCAGTTGTTTTGCTGGCATTCTTAATTCTGCAAAACTCCTAAGTGTGTTACTGCAAAAGTATGAAAGATTAGGCATTAAACATAACGGTAACATGTCTCTGAACACACCACTCATCTGACCTTAAAGAGGAAGAAGCGACAGTGGGCACACGATCACCACAATCTGGCCCTCGAGCAGCCAGTGAGCAGAATTTGAATCTGAAGTATGTGTGATAGGTTTGTAGGTACATTCGGTGCGTGGGTGGTCGACTTTCAACACATCCTGCGGGATTTCATTCCAACAGCTAGTGTCAGTTTCTTGGATAAAACTGTTCGGATTCTTGTTTTTTCAATTTTCTCAAAGAAGTCAGAGCTGAAGTTATGAGGGTGTCTTTGTATATCTGTGTGTAGGAGTGTGGGCGGTGTGCAGTTTCAAAGTGCCTAAAGTGTTACACTCCGGTGTTCAACTTTCTTTAAGTTGATACAACTCCACACTAGATAGTTTCATATCCATAGCAAAGGTAGATTCGGAGAGATGCCTTTTTCCCCACAGTTGAGCTTGATCACACAGCAAAAGATTTAAATCATCAAAACAAACGAAAAATACACGTTTTCATAAGTAATCCACTGACTTGTGCAAGGCAGGGTGGAGGGGTCTTTAATGGCCCTGTAGAAGCCTTTCTCACAGTGACACATGGTGGCCGCCTGGTCATGGCTGGAGCTGTGCAGAGGACACCTTGAGCATTTAGTGTTCCCGGCGAACGCCTTGAAGGAGCCAGGCCTGCAAGCTGGAGATAGAGTGAGGCAGAGGGGAGGGAGAGAGAGAGAGAGAGAGAGAGAGAGAGAGAGAGAGAGAGAGAGAGAGAGAGAGAGAGAGAGGCAGTTACACAACGTTAATGTTCTTCATGCGACTGCATTTCCATTCAGCACACATACATTTAATTCACAGCTCCAGCTGCCTCGCTCCTCACCTGTGGTCTGACCCCATTTCCCGAGGTGCTATGAATCACTGTCACATCCTTATTAGCTCACTAAGCCACATGCTAATGGTCCTGCCCATTGTCCAGTCTAACAAATAGCACACACCTGTAAGGCACATTCTCGGAATGAAGAATGGCAAATGCAGACAATCAGACAAGTCCTAAAATAAACACGTTACAAAATTAGAGCTAAATCTTGGTACAAGTGTGTAGAGGTATTTTCAAGCAGAGTTCCACTGCACCACAATCATGTTTCTTAAGTTGTAACACCAGCTGACATTTTAGACCAGCTTTGACATTACATAAATAAACACTGTGACACACTGGGTTTGGCAGATTTATCAAAAATGTTCAGAAAGTTAAGACAATAATGAAATAAGTGTGAAGATAGAGTGTGACGCAAATTACATTTTTGAGCTTCTAGTCAGATTGAACAAATCAAATATAACATTAATCTAAATAAATGCAATCTTTATTTTTATTTTATTGTTAAAATATCAAGAAACATATCTGGATCAAACTGGCTAAAAAGAAATTGTTTTAGATCATAGTGATTATAGATAGAGATATTAACAATGGGGGGAAAAAACAAGTAAAACATAAAAATTGGATGTAACATTTAACCTTAATGCGAATCTCTGCTGACATAAATCATCAATACAGCTTCAAGAAATACTAGAACAAGAATATCTACCGTGTGTGATATGTGTGGAATTTTTTTGAGTGCATAAACAATACATGTGTCTCAGGATTTAATGTTTTTTAGGAGTTCAGAGGGTGAATTAAGGTTAAAATGGATACAACAAAAATCTAAAGCAATGTTAAAGACTCTGGAGTCCATTTGTTGGAATCCACAGGTTTAATAGAGTCCCCACTGTCAGATTCCCTCTAATACAAAGAGAGAAGAGTTCGCATTGTTTGTAAGGCAGATAAAAAAGAGCTATTAACATACAAATAATGCATTATAAAATTCAATTATACCTGCATTCAGTCGGAAATCTCCTGCTGACGCAAGTATTTCTCAGTTTTCATCCTTTACCATGGTCCACATTACTACTTCATTACTTCCTCCATTTTACCTTCCCCATCAATTCAACCAGCTCTCCTTTTCTTTATCACTCCAGTTTTTCTCTTAAATGTTCAGCACTGCTGAAATCTTTTCCTTTTCTTCATCTCTATTCCCATCATTTTTCCTTCTCCCATCTCACGCCCCGCTTTTCTGTCCTGTGCTCTTTCCTTTAAGGCTTATCAGAAGATGGCTAAACCACTGCAGATTCCCTCTTTCTCCCCTGAATTATGTCAGCAGAGTACTAATGATGCAGTTATTTTATATTCCAGGAATCTCAGGGTGGTTTTATTGCAGAGTGAATTGGATGAAAATATGTGTGTGGGCGGGATGATAATTTCAAAATTAGCAAATAAATATCCCCTTTATAAGACAGTCAAGACTTCATGGTATGGAGGGATATGATAAATTACGTTCTGAAATTATTATCAGGAAATGACCATTTTAGAAAAGTACTTTACTTTCTAACACATTATTGCCTCCATTGAGAAATATTAGCACTATAATACTTCTATTGATGAAAGCCTCTTCATTACACAGTGCTTAGTTTCATACTGTTTCCCATGAATGACATCCAACTGCTGCCCTGTATCCAGTACTGCACCCAGGACTCCTTGTAAAGGGTTACTGTTATACTGGTGAAATAATCAAATAGAAATTGCTCCTGGTACAAACAGTGTGAATCAATAACACAACTTACAAATTCTGTTAATAAGCCTTTAATTAAATATCTGCCGACGAGAATTCAAAGTTTATTTTAAGCAACGTAAATAATTATAATAAATTTGTGAATAACAAAGAGTGGAATTGCATTAAATGACCATGGATTAACTGCCTGTCCTTTTGGTGCTTGATAGAAAAAA